TCTTCATATCTCTGTCTTCATGTCTTCATATCTCTGTCTTCATGTCTTCATATCTCTGTCTTCATGTCTTCATATCTCTGTGTTCATGTCTTCATATCTCTGTCTTCATGTCTCTGTCTTCATGTCTTCATATCTCTGCCTTCATGTCTTCATGTCTTCATATCTCTGTCTTCATGTCTTCATGTCTCTGTCTTCATGTCTCTGTCTTCATGTCTCTGTCTTCATGTCTTCATATCTCTGTCTTCATGTCTTCATGTCTTCATCTCTCTGTCTTCATGTCTTCATGTCTTTGTCTTCATGTCTCTGTCTTCATGTCTTCATGTCTCTGTCTTCATGTCTTCATATCTCTGTCTTCATGTTTTCATATCTCTGTCTTCATGTCTCTGTCTTCATGTCTTCATATCTCTGTCTTCATGTCTCTGTCTTCATGTCTTCATATCTCTGTCTTCATGTCTTCATATCTCTGTCTTCATGTCTCTGTCTTCATGTCTCTGTCTTCATGTCTTCATGTCTCTGTCTTCATGTCTCTGTCTTCATGTCTTCATGTTTTTGTCTTCATGTCTCTGTCTCCACCTGGTGCACACAGAACCTGAAACCTCTCTGTTTGTGATCCAGGATGTTCTGAACGGCTCGGACCACCAGGCGGTTCTGTTCCTGGGGAACCTGGTGGAGGGAAAGTACTCGTTCACCCTGACTGTGAGCGACAGCAAAGGTCAGAGCAGCTCAGACCGAGGAGGTGTGGAGGTCCGAGCAGGTAGAACCCACACACACACACCACACATACACACTGACAACACACACACACACACTCTTTACATCACTTCCTGTTGCTGTGTGTTCCTGTCAGACGTGTGGGAGCGGGACCTGGTGGAGCTGCTGCTGGAGGTCCCGGTGTCTCAGGTGTCTCAGCGTCAGCGGGACATGCTGCTCCGTCAGGTCGGGGTTCTTCTGGGCGTGCTCGATGGTGACATCATCGTCAGAGAGATCCGTGCGTTTAACGAGCACAGGTGAGTCTCCTTCATCAGCTCTTATATTGTATCTTCATCTGTTTTACTGTCCTCCTCCTCTTCCTCAGCACTCGGCTGGTGTTCCTGGTGTCGGGCGGTCCGGACCGACCTCCTCTGTCGGGTCGCAGCGTGGCGCTCAGCCTTCGGAACAAACTGCACAAACAGAAGAACGACTTCCTGATCTTCAGGGCCCGAAGCGTCGACACTGTTGGTGAGAATGAGATGGAGACAAGAAGCTGAAGCTGTTCCTCAAACTAAACTCTGGTCCTGCAGCTCATCACAGAAACACAATCATCTGAAGCTGTTCTTCCTCAAACTAAACTCCCAAAAGCAGCTTGTGTTCTAACTTTACATGAAAACACCAAAGAGCCACAGCTGGACAGGAAGTGGTGTCTGTGTGACGGGCTGCAGGGAACTCTTTCATCTGTTTTCTTTTCCTGTGTGGGTTTTCTTTAACTCTTCCTCCTCATCTTCCTCAGTCTGTCAGATGAACTGCTCGGGWCACGGAGAGTGTGACCCGTTTACCCGGCGGTGTGTGTGTCATCCCTTCTGGATGGAGAACTTCATCAGGGCTCAACTTGGAGACACAGAGAGCAACTGTGGTGAGAGG